CCATAGACTCAGTCCCGACCCTGTACAGGGTTTCCGAGGTGCGGCTGGTGAGCTTGAAACACCAACCTTACAATTCAAACTGACTTTGCAGTCCAGCACATTAACCTACAGTGAGTGCCACACGAGGACTCACAAGTACTGCACTGCAACACACTTCTCTCCATTCACAGTAGAAAACGATAACTTCTTGGTAGGTGTGAATGAAACCCATCTTCAACTTCACTGCATGACTCACTTTTCTATTTCATTTTTTGGTTTTTATGACCTGGAAGATCCACCTGCCCCCAACAGCTTGAAATGAGGCTAGCAACTTCCTTCAAAGTAGAGGTGGCTTCTAACAACTCTACTTCCACATTCATCCTTCCCACTCTCAAAAAGCTAAAATGTATTAACACTTCAATGTGGTGCTGCAGGTTAATGTGCTGGACTGCAAGGTCAGTTTGAACTACAAGGTTGCTGGTTCAAACCCACCAGCCACTCCTAGGAAACCCTATACAGGGTTGGGACACACTTGACGGCACTTAAGAATTTCAAGAGAAGAGATCCATTCAAACCACTGTACATTTGACCATTTATTCAACATCTGTTAAGTGCCCTCTTTGCTAGGATTCAACTCAGGTCAACCACAGAAGCACTGGAGTCCTGGTATGGTGGTATAGAATAAGGACTGGACTGCAAACCTGTTTGATCAGCGGTTTAAACTCACCAGCCGTTGTTTGTTGAGTGCTGTTCAGTTGATTTCAACTCAGAGTGACCCTGGATAGGGTTTCCAAGGAGCAACTGAGTTTGAACCACTGACATTGTGGTCCAGTGCTTTATCACACAGGGCCACACCAGCCTTTCTCAGAAAACCCTATACAAAAATGACTCAATACATCCAGAGCTCCAGAGATGGGAAATTCCCACTTGAAAGGACAAGCAAACCAGCCTGGAGTGGCTAGAACAGAAGATACTTCTTAAAAGAAAGACCTACAGGAAAAATACAAAACAATAGAGGCAGATGGACTGTTACTACAAGAACAAATTGCTTGCCCAGGAAACATCAAGGCAAGTGGTCGGGTCCCCTTAATGCAAACCCCCTTCCAAGACTAAGACTCAATGGAAATATGCACCCTGATTGGTGACCACACGCATCGCTGATAGGGGGAAGTGAGGTAAAAGCAGCAATGAAGCAGCAAGCTAAGCCCTACAATGTTCGGTGGACTTCTGTGGACCCAGATGGGGACGTGGTTGGCCAGAAGTGTGGGGAGACTTGGGGACTCCTGGGCCCAGAGAAAGCGGCGTGGCCACAGAGGACTAGAGTGGAGAGTGAAGCTACCAGCTGATAGAAGAGGGCATACACACAAGAACACCCACACTTGCAGATGGTACCCACGTGACCTGGTCCCGATGATCAGAACTCAACTAGAAGAAAGAAGAGGAAAAAAAAGAGTGATCTGAGACAATTTGATGAAATTGATCTACACCTATGGATGCAGTAACCCAAGAGGGAACAAACCCTCACAGCAAGAAACATTCCCACCCCCTCCACACATAGACAGAGATGGGCAACTTGGACATTGGATACCCAAATTGGGGGGAGGGGGACCACAAAGGCAAGAAGTAACTGGCTTACAAGCTTTCAAGAGGGAACCTAGAGCTAGGGGACATGGAGGAAGGCAGAATCTCCAGGGAGTACTATCCAATCTGTCTAGGTGGAGCTAATGAAATGAAATTCAGAAGGGTCACTTGTGATACAACAGTGAATAATTGTTATCAGGACTGATTGTGAGGGTTGGAAATGTAAAGGTAGACGTTTGGTAGCAAGGAAGGGAGTTATTAACTCTCCAGTCTAGGAGCAGAGGTCTCTGGGACCATCAATGGAGAAGAGCTGAGAGCGGGACCCTACCCAGAGAAGCAGCGAGGCCAGAGATGGGAGGCAGAGACAATGACGTGGAGTGATGAAGCGAATGGGGACTTTGGATCCAGAGAGGGAGAGGGACTGGGTCCTGAAGAATGGGGGCAGGGATGGGGGAGTGTAGGGTGCGGGTTTATAGGGTATACCCTTTGGTCGGTTGATGATGCACGGAGGGGAATTGGAACCATGGCAATGAGACGATATATGATGGAAATGAATGTGAAACTAAAGTTCTCTCATGTAAAATACCATGTAATTCACAATAAAACATGAAAGAAAACCAGACTCAATAGCACACCATGGCAGTGTTGGAAGCATCTCTTTGACCAAAAGTCAACCTGGGTGTGCATTTTTGCTTCTTTCCTCCTGTACTCTCAAAGGTTCCTCAAACACTGTTCTCTTTGAACTTCACTCTTTGTCCTCCACCATATCTTCCCATACATGTCCTTTTCTTAAAAGACACGTATGGCAGCAGAGTTCCAAAATTTTACCTCTCCCCAAAGCTTAGGTACACCACCACCACCACCAAAGCTTAGGAGGGCCATTTTTATGCATTCCTTCTATGGATGGGCCCTCTCCTCTCTTCATACCTTACAAGGACTGCAAGGGCAGGTTCACAAAAACTGAAAGCCTGTTTAAACCTACAGGCTATGTAAAGGAACCCCAACACTCAACATATTAAAACAAGGTTGAGTTTATTTTTCATTGTTAAAAAGTTTAAAATACTTGAATCACCTTGCTGTTAAGTTTGTGTATGCCAAAGTCTTTGAAGCTGTTGTTGGGTGCTATTAAATCCATTTCAACTTACCTTTATGCCAGGTTAGAAGAGAAAAACTGCCCCGTAGATTGCCAGGTCTTTTTCCTGCAGAACCGCCGGGTGGGTTCAAACCAACTTCTCAGTTAACAGCCAAGCACTTAATTGTCTCTGGAAACACTAGGTTTATATATTGCTGTTTACAGCAAAAATGAAATGCTGTGTTCTGGATCCAAGGCAGAGTAGTGCGTAAAGAACTGACAAAAGTTGGTTTTCCATTTGAAAAAGTCACCACCCAAAGATCACAAAACTATGTAGTATATGCCAACTTTGGTATACACTCACACTGTGTATATGTGTGTGTGGGTGTCTATATACACAGCTTGCAGAAATGGAGTGAGAAAACAGTAAAGCTTTACCTTCTCATGTGCATTTCCTAAATTATCTGCCCTGAACATGTGCTGCATATATATATATATACACACACACACACACATACACAGGGAGAAATTGCACAGATCTACATTAACATTCTAAAAAGACATTATCCAAATGTCTCATTGATTTTACAAAGCTCTCTACATCTTCATTTCCCCCATATATATTCATTTCTGGACACGTAAAATGTTTTCTGTCCACTTTAGCTTCCAGGTCTTTATATGAAGATTCTTCTTACATACCCCTCAAACCAATACTTCATGACTTCTGGAAACCAATCAAAATTACCAATGATTAATCCCATCTTTACCAAGTACCCACAGAGTAGGTATAACTCTCTCTGTATCTGATTATGTAATTGTTCTTTGGTAGTTCAAAGCACACACCTCCCATTCCTTAAGCATAAGGATTTAGTTCTTTTGTGAAAAATATTCAAAGATTTTTTTTTTTTCCAAAAGATCACCAAGCCAAACATTTGGCCATGTTTTTATTTACTACATATACTATAAACATATACAATACATGCTACAAAAAAACATTTTTTCTTTTTAAATTTAACTGTCAAGAAAGTGTATAGTGTTATAATACAATGGCACATGTTCATATTTTATTTCAAATTGGTTTGCTTATCACCCATTTCAAACCATTAATAGTGAAATGTTACTGAAGATAATTAAAAATTATCTATTTGCATTATTAACAATAAACAATTCCAACAAATTAATAAGAATTAACCATGTCAAATATTAGTATCCAAAAAACAGGCTTTTGCAGAAATGATTATATAAAAGATAGCAGCCAATTTCAGTTTACTTTGCTCTGTGACAATGTACATATGCACTTGAACAGGATTCTAGTATTTGCTCTTGGAAGATACATAAAAGTCCTTTGATCTCTTGAGGTCCAACAATGGTCACACACAGCCAAATCCAACCCAACAGTTTATGCAATGGCTCTGGACAACCCATCAGTAAGAAATTCTGGTGATTTGGCTAGAGTTGTATGTTCAACTAGTATTACATATGATGAAAACAGGCATTACAAGCCAGTAACAAAGTCAAAGGCAAAAAAAAAAATACAAACATTCGAATCAATTGTGACAAGGTTTCTCTACAAATATTTTTAGAAGCCATACTTTCAGGAAAACAAGATTTATTATATATTTGGATTTTACAGTATCTATGCTCTAACTGAAAATCTAAGAGCAAGTCAGATGGAATTATGTTTAGTTTTGAAAATCCATTCATTCAACATTTTTAAGCACCCACTGTGTGCATAGCACTGTGCTAACATTTTAAAAGTTGAGTATTAATGTCTCTATCAAGCATTACCTTAGTGTGAGGTAAAAATAAATTAAATTGGCATCAACTCATTAGTTTGCTTGTGGAATTGATGTGATTCTGTGCCAGTTGGCTTCTCTGTGTCATATGATCCACTCCTATATTCTCCTCATCCACTCAGACAAGCATCTGCATACAGACTACGTCCAAGCATTGTGCTAGTCACTGGGTTACCATGATTTGGTACATGTTTAAAGAAAGCAAAATGATCATACTGACCTATGCACACAATCAGAAAGGTAGATTATTTTTCTCAAATGAGGTCAAAAGCCAAATACAAGATGTTTCTATTGGTCTTAGCCCCACCATAGACCAGTAAGTGCCTTTCTACACTGGAACTAACTTTGAAAGTTTGACACTGTAGTCTAAATAGCCTAGATCATTTTTGGTCTCAGAATTCTATTCTTTGGAGCATGTGACCCCATATGAACCATTCCATGATGAATAGGGTTTGTAAACTAACTTGAAAATAAGTCAAAACATAACAGCAGTTTATAATGTATTTACTTCAAGCACTATTCTGGCCATGTGAAATGAATAATACATTAGTAATTCATGATTGATTCAGACATTTTTCAAAGCACTAAACCTACCCCCAACAGTCATGTCATTCTAACTTGACTTTTACACAAGTTGTACATAAAGCAGGGGGCAGAATTTGGCCCCAAAACCTTCTATGGAATATTATGATTGGTCCTTCCACTGTATATGGAATTTAGGAATTCCAAGAGTCCCTTATTAGGATACTAGCACTTAAGAAATGGCCTGCTAGATCCTGTTAGGCAGGAATCTAACTTCCGTAGCAGTGTGAACCTACTATGACCCCTTGGGGGAAGGCAGAGAGCTAGGCATTTGGCTGTCCACTTAGTGAATCCAATACTGGCTTAAAGCTATGCACTGAGTAAAGTGCTCTGTGTATCCCGCTTCTCAATTGGAATAAAAATCCACACTTACCTAAGAGTTCACCTACTAGTAGATTTTGGGGAAAAGAATGTCATGGGTTAAAAATATCCCAAGAAAAAGTATGAAGCATTGACCAGGAAGGAAGACAAATGCCTCTAGTAGTGTCCTCAGAATTCTCAGGATTTGAAATGTCAGAATGAGTCAGACAACAGTCATGTTCTATAAATGAAACCGCAATCCCATTGGGTACTATTCACACGGTACATGATTACTGCATGGGGGCACAAGGGAACAGTCTATTGCCATTTGATAGTATGGTTTCAGAATGAAAAAATCCATTGAGTAAATCAGGGTAAGCAGTGTGCAGCACTCCTCTCCTGTCTATTGGCTTTCTACAGATTGACCTGCATTGTCTCAGAGAAAGGAGGCTAGACACCACTCCCTTCTGATACACACAGGCATAGCCACGACCACCTAAAACTGCTAATTCAGAAGTGAATACACAGCCCTCCAGTTTCGTACCCTGAATATGGTAAGAAAGACTAAGAATGTAGTAGTTCAGTCTAAAAAAGGTCACAGGTAACAGAATGCTTATATAAACTAGACTGCTCTTGATATCTGTAAGAAAACTGTATAGATGGCAGTTGGAAAACAAAACAAAACAAAAGATTGTTCCCATGTGTCAGCAAAACTGTTTGTTGAGCTATACTCAGCTGAAGTCCTCATCGGGATTCTGTTGATCCAGCAGACGGACATGTGTGAATGGGAAGTGACCTCGTTTGCCATTACACTCCCCTTCCCACTGACCACTCACATTAATCTTCGTAACCTTTACCAGCTCACCGACCTGCAGGAGGAGAATAAGGAGAGCGCTTTATTTCCAGTTCAGAACGCAAGCTGAAAAACTCCATTTTCTGGTTAGGCATACCCTGCCCATGTGATTGCTCTAGGGCTGACATTACAGAAATGGCTATACACTGCCACCCCAGCCCCAGCCACCAGACTGGTTACTTGTGGTTAATGCAGGCAGAAGTAGTGTTTTTAGCAGTGAAGAAAAACACAGTAGAGAGTAGAAAGGATCCTACAAAATACCTTTTTGCAAATCTCAAGTGTCTCTGGATACACCACCCTCACTAGATTGAGCTCATATTCTTTTACTTTGCACCCACCACCCTCAACTTCCTGCCTATACCACAGGTCCTACACTATGGATGAACTCTCCTCCTCTCACTGGCATAGAGTGGCATGACCCCGCAGTCAACATTGGTACACACATTGCTTGCTTCTACCTGCATAGCAGATGGCATTCATTACGTCCTAGAAAATGAAGGATTCTATCATCTTTTTATCAAGACATGCTTTCTCCTACTTGTACAGGTATAGCCCCAACTTCTAAATTCTATCAGCTCCCTCCTGCTTACTCCCTACCATTCACTGACAAACCATGTTGCTCAATCAATGTCACTTAGCACTTAGTACTCAGTGAGTGGACAAAAATCAACTTCGTTTTTGCTTCTGTTTATAAAAAGCCTCCTATTGTGACCTCAAATAAAAACTTTTGACAATACAGGCTATAACTCTATCTTGCTATGAAACTTAAGACAAAGTCAGCCTGATGAACAAATTCATCCTTATGGCAAAATACTGAACAATGGTGAGATAAGGCTCTGAATGTGACTGGACTAAAGAATGTTAAGTCATCTGAGTCAGTTCTGACTCAAAGTGACCCTCTATAGGGTTTCTAAGGAGCAACTGATGGATTTGAACCACCAACCTTAGAGTTAGCAGTGTAGTACTTATCCTATAGCATCACACCAAAAATCCACAAAACCTTTAGGACCACCTTTTAATTATTAACATTTGAGTTCTGAGCACACAAGTGGTTTGTAAGCAAAACTGTTCATTTTATTAACAACTATTGCACTATTCTATAGTACTGTAGAAGCTGTTTTACAAAAACTATTTTCTAATTCTCATAGCTCTGGAAGAAAAACTGTTCTCAATTTATAGATGAGAAAACTGAGGTTGGGTGATTATAGGATATATGTAGGGCCATACAAACAGAAATATACGCTAGATTCAGAAGAGGAGGTGGAATGAGTGATATCATTGCTGATGTCAGCTGGATCTTGCTAAAAGCAAAAAATACCAGATGTTTATCTGTACTTCATTTACTATCAAAGGCATTTGACTGTGTGGATCATAACACTGCAAAGAATGGGAAGTCCAGAATACGTAATTGTGCACATGTGGAACCTATACATAGCCCAAGGGGTAGTTGTTCAAACAGAACAAGGAGATAGATACTGCATGGTTTAAAATCAGGAAAGGAATGTGTCAAGGCATTCTTTCACCATACTTATTCAATCTGTATGCTGAGCAAAGAACCCAAGAGGATGGACTCTATGAAGAACATGGCATCAAGATTGAATGGACTTGAAACACAGAGAAAGCAAAAATCCTTACAACTGGACCAATAAGAAACATGATAAATGGAGAAAAGATCAACACCCCTAGAAACAGCAGTCAAGAAATCAAATGACTTATTGCATTGGACAAATCTGCTGCAAAAAAACAGCAAAGATTTCACTGCAATCCCTGGAGAAAGATATCATGCTTGGTAGAGTGTCAGTAAAAAAAAGATGAGCTGGATTGATAGAGGCTACAACAATGGGAAGACATAGGACTGGGTAATGTTTTGTTCTGTTGTACACAGGGTTGCTATGTGTTGGAAATGACTCCATCGCACCCAACAATGCCAGTGGCATGGCTGTGATTTGAGCCTACAACCACCTGGCTCCAAAATCCATTGATGCTCTTTTTTACAAAAACATTTCAAATTATGCTCCCAGGGCCGTAAGGGTTCCCTAGGATGTCTCCAGGTCAACTACTGGCTAAAGCCAACTCATCACCATGCCAATGGCCCGCTCTAGGACCAACCTGATTCAACTCATTGAGGAAACAACTTGTTTTTCGGCTTGTCTGTAATTTCCTAAGGAACTATCTGAAAACTAGAGTGGGTCTAAAGTGTTGTTGTGGGTCAGAGGACGCTGAAATTAGGTCAGAAAGTAGGGAATGCTAGCCATACCAGGGTTAAGATAAGAGAGAGTGAAGTTTGATCTGCAGCAATGAGAAGATTAAGGTTGACAGTTTAAGAAGGGGAGGAAGGATGATTTTGCATGTCCATCCTTGAAATAGAGCCAGTCCCTATCAACTGCTAGTGCCAGGTTTTTAATGTTTATTCCCAGCGATTTTTCAATTCATATTTCCTGACATCCAAGTAGGCCGACTATGACAAAGAAAGATTTTCATAGTTTTGGAGGCAAGAGGGATCAGGATATCAAGTCAAGTTTGGTTGACTAGTAAAATAGTTTAAAGGATTTCTTGCCTTATTCCCAATCCTAGTTCTCAGACTTTCTCATCACTTGCTCCCTTACTAAAAATCTTGCAGTGTGGCAGAAAGAGGCAACACCAGCCCTTTAACATTTGACTGAATTTTCCTTAATGGCCTGTCAGCTGCCCTTAACTCACTATCCTTCACACACATGTACACACAAACACATGCTTACACACATGTCCCTTGAACCAATGTCTCTGTGCTGCTAGTTACATGCTATGCTAAAGTCAATTACATCACGCATGCTTCTTTTACAGAATATTTGTATTTGCGTTATCTGTAAAACACTGATGTCATTCAAAAAAAAAAAAAAGCCAAGTTAAGTCTGACTCATGGAAACTATGTCAGAGTAGAAAAGTCCTCCATAGGGTTTCAATGGCCAACTTTTCAAAAGTCACTTTTCAGGCCTTTCTTCCAAGATGCCTCTGGGTGGGTCTACACCTCAACCTTCCAGGTAGCAGTCAAGCATGTTCACTATCTTCGTCACCCAGGGACTCCACTCATGTTAAATTGGTCTGATAACTTCAGGTCTGTCTGCTAAAATCCCTAATATCTGTCATAAATCAATCCATTTTTTCCTTGATAATAGAACCCTTGGGAATGCTGAAAATATTCTACATTTCATTTAGGTGGTTACCACACAGGTAGGTGTACAAATGGAAAACTCACTGAAATGTACAGGAAAGATTAGTGTATTTTACTAAATTATTTCATACCTCATAAAAATAAGTAAAAAGAAATGGAATGTATATTTAGTATAGCTTTTTCTAGGCGTTTTGTAGCTGTTTCTTCAGGATATCTAGTCCCCCATTTTACCGATACCAAAATCTAGATTTAGTTTAAACAAATCTTTCCATTTTATATTTTCTTTATTCTTAAGCATTCATGTTATATATAGTCTTAAATCACATCCCACCGAGCTCTAAGAAGTGCAGGTTAAACTGAAATGTGACCTAGCACGTTTTTATCAGCACCCTACAACCACACAGGCGTCTCCACCACAAGTAGGACAACACTTGACTTTCCTAGACCATGGTTCTTTAAGGTTTCTATGGAAGAAATGGGCAGGATTTACTACAAGGCAAGATTTTACACTAAGAGAGAATTACTTGACCAACACCAGAGCCATCGCTAATACAGACTCCTTTTGTTTTATCCCATAGAGGAAGGAACACTATATTCTAAAACATTTCTAACAGCTGATTAGGCTCTTGGTTGTTGTTGTTAAGTGCCACTGAGTCGGTTCCGACCCATAGCGACCCTGTACAGGGTTTCCGAGGCTGTAAATCTTTACTGGAGCAGAGAAAGCCTCATCTTTCTCCTGTGGAGCAGCTGGTAGTTTCAAACTGGTGACCTTAACGTTCGCAGCCTGATTTGTAACCATTTTGCTACCAGAGTTCCTTGGTAGGGAGGTTCAAATGCCAAACGGTAAAAGAAAGACTATGCCATAACTCTGAAACAACTTTGATTTTTAAATGGATAAAAGAGAAAAATTATAAGCAGTCAGTTGAGATAGTAGGTGACATACAAATACTCCTAAGAACACCTTATCATAAATATAAGCGTAATTTCTTCTCTAAACTAAAAACAAAGCCTGCAGCAATGCTGCTCCTCCTGTTAGGAAGCAACTCACTAAATCAAAGCTCTTGAAGGGAGGGAAAGGGCAAATATATGGGTCTGAAATTGCTTTACTACTGAAAAGACAGAGTAAAACTGAGTACTTGTCCCAGAAATGTTAAAATTTTAAGATGCAAATATACTCACCAGTGAATGCAGTGATAAAAGTAGTTCTAGTACTACAAATTTCAATGTTTATATTATAAATGGAAAATAAACCTCTAATATGCAAACCATTGACTAAGAAAGACATTATAAAGGACTTGGGAGTACAAGGTAATACACCTTTCTCTTTAGGAGGTGGACCTCTAAACACTTCGTGTAAAAAAAATTAAAAAAAATAAAAAAAGACATCAAAGTACTGACTTAATATCCAGTCTGTTCTTCAGTCACCTGATTCCAGACCACATTCCCAGGAGCAATTCTGAATATAAATCAGGGAACCATTTTCAGTTTCTGTAATCCCAAGGAACTTTATGAACACTGGTTTCTTTTCTAGCTCTCTGTAGTTCAAAAAAATCAAACAAGATCCTGATGTAGATGTAGTCATATCTAGAATTAGTTTCAGGAGCAAAACTACCCAGCTGATCTCTATTAATGACTGTCAGCGATATGAGAAATAAATTGGTATTTACTATACAGGACACATTAGGAAGCTGTGTCTAACAGGAAAGACATCAAAGCTACCACAGCTGGAATTTCTTTTATCCAGACTTGCTGCATTGTGCTAGTAAATGCAAGGCAGGAAACACACACCATCCCCTAAAAAACCAACCCTATCACCACCAAGTTGATTCTGACTTATCGTGGCCCTATAGACAGAGCAGAACTGC